ATCATAAGTATATCAGTGATAGTTTATTATTATAGATTCTATTATTTTCTAGGAATAACTTGTTGCAAGTCAAGATATTTTTTAAAGATATGTTTTATACTGAAATAAAACATGTACCCGAATTTGATTTTGACTCTATATTTGGTAAGAATAAATTGATTGTTTTGTCTTTACACGCAACTGGAGTTCTGGAGTTTCGATTTTTTTTATATTATTATAGTAACTGAGTCTGTGGATCATGTCTTGGTCATTGTATCAACCTCTTGCCAGCTTCCCAGAATCTGACCTCATATTCACAATAAGAATTCTCGTCCATTATCTTACAGGTCGAGTTGGAGGACAAATGGGTTTATTTCTTGGTGCAAGTTTGGTATCGGCATTTGAATTATTGGTATATATGGTAAAATTTATCTGGAATGGGGTTGAAGGACACCGAGCGAACACCAAGAAAACCAATATTCAACCTCTTAGTGAAAAGTCGATTCCAGGATGAAATAGCTTGTGATGTGAAGAGATTTCGATTATACAGTAGTCTTTTGATTGATGAATTCTTGGACGAGTTCGTAATTGACGATATTTTAATCACCTTTTTTTTAGTTACTGTCATTGATCCGACGTAAAATATCGTCAAAATCGGGTTGTGAGCAGTGAAAGCTCGATAGAAGCTAGATTTCTCATCTATTAGGATAAACCGTACCATGCGTTTTTGGATTTGTGAAATCTCGGACTAGTTATTGCCCTTGACTTGGTAAAACGCGTCAAAATCATCCTGTTAGCGCTAAATTCAACCACTTTCTGGTTACTACAATATAGACAAACCGGAAGCTGATTCCATGAGGATAAAAATGACGATGTTCTGATAGAGAACAGAATAAGATGTAAAGAAATAAATATTTTAATCAATAAGTAATATCAATGATGGTTTGTTATTCCAGCCTCCCTAGCCATTCCGTAAAATACTGATGTTCTATCTTCTAATAAAACATTTGGTTTATCAAACTCCACTATTCTTCCGTCATCCATTACGATTATTCTGCAAAAGAAAAGGAAATATTCTGATATTTCATTCATGTTGTCATATTATTATTGTCTGGATAAGTCCCGTCTTAAGCGTTACCTCTCAGTATATGGCTCTGCTTTCCAGGCGGAGTTGCTTGGCCGTGCTGTCATGTTTCAGAGAGTGGGTTTGGTAGCCTATGAATAAAGGATGGCTTAACTTTTACCCTGGTTAAACAACATCTTTAGCACATTTTCGAGTACAAAACGAAAATTCAACCATTCATATTTCATCAATTATATTATCATATTTATTTGACGTTCCTTTATTATCCATCATTAGGCATCTGGATTGTTGTTTGTAATGTTCCATAAACATTTAAGTTATGTATATAATAAGAAATGTATTTTTACTCACCTATCATAATCTAATATAGTATTTAAACGATGAGCTATGGTTATTATTGTACAATCTTTAAATGATTCACGAACAGTCTTTTGAATCAATGAATCTGTTTCATAATCCACAGCAGCTGTTGCTTCATCTAATACCAGTATTCTAGTTCTCCTGAGTAAAGTTCTAGCTAGGCATACCAACTGGCGCTGTCCAACACTGAAATAGTTTAATCCGTGCTATCATATAGGATGATAAATGATTTGTAAGCTTGCTCTTTTCATTTTGTACCGTCTAGAATGATCAAAGACCAATTTTAGAAATTCTGGAATAAATTTTGATCGGAGACGAACCAGATTTTACGATCGGCTTACTTTAGCTTAATCAATAAATTTTAATGTTTCTATTACAACAGGAATTACTGCTTGATATACATGCCGTCTAAATCGATTACACTATTTATATTATACAATTATTAATAATGTTTGAACACTAGTAGTCAACAAGATACACCAGTCCTCATATTGACTGCTTGGACCTAATAAAGCCAAGGGTTGCAAACAGGCATTAGAAAATCTCACCTGAAATTACTTCCACCTTCACCACATTCATAGAAAATTGTCTCTGGAAGACCTTCTACAAAAGGTTTTAAATGAGATTGACCTAGAGCTACCCATATCTGATCATCAGTGAATTCATCAAATGGATCTAGATTCATACGCAAAGTTCCGGAAAATAATACCGGATCCTGGAGGAAAAAAAATACAACATATTAACCTATTGAACTCGCCGAGAGGAATGTCGGACTACGCCTGACCTAGTTACCACAATCAGGTCACGAACATACATGACCGCTATGACCGTAAAGGGCGAGGCTTCAACTGATTTTTTTTCTAAACGGGACTACATACGCTATGTGACGGTCTGTCGTAAAGATAAGAAAGAAGCGTCTAAATTGGATTCGAGAGATTCAATGATGAGTGACACGACATTCTTTTGGTTATGATGACGAAAGGAGGCCTACGTGTTCTGGTAATTTTGATAGAACTAAAACAACGTTAAAGATAGGTTAGAAATATCAAATCAGTCAGTTACGGTATCGCAATTGAAAAATATTTTAATAGTTGCAGTTGTAGCTGTATCAGACTTAATAATGATAGATGCTTTATCCCCTTTCCTGACCTAACGCTGAAAAGGTACTGGATGGCATAACGTCAAACTATTTGATTTATACATGGCTTTACCTGTGGCAATATGGTTAATCTAGATCGTAAATCATGCAGTCCAATATCAGCTATATTTACACCATCTATAATAATCTCTCCACCACTACCTTCAACTAATCTAAATAACGTTAATAACATAGAACTCTTACCAGCTCCAGTACGACCAACTATACCAATCTGTAAAGATAAATTAGATCATAACGCTGGAAGCCAAACCGTCAACAAGTCAACCTAAAAATTTTACAAGCACGTTTAAACGATTGATTCGACTTATTGTTTTAAAAAGCCCATGTGTAACATATCTGGTCATATTTTTCACCTTTATAGGGCTTCCATTCTTTTCCAGATTTATTCTTCCATTTAACAGTTTACATAAGAACTATAGGTTATATTAGGTATCTAAACTTACCTTTTCACCACCTAAAATGTCACAACTGACTCCTTTTAATACTAGATCTAATCCTTGGCGATATCTTACTTGGTAATTACTCCATGTAATAGAACCATGATCCGGCCAATTACTACTTGGTCTGTTGTCAAAATTTATCAATGCCGCCTTAAAGATGATTCAAATAAGTGAATATTAATAATTAAAATCAACCACTTGAACAGGTAGTGGAATATTTACCGAAACAAATAAGTTTTTCGAGTCTAAAAGTACAAGAACATTCTCCTGATGTGACCAAATTATTTAAAAGAATATGAAATGGTGAAAGCATACTAAGCTTAACCATGAAACTAACCTCCGATTCTATCTTAGAATATTCTAAAACTCTCTCCACTGATACGATATTACTTTCCAGATCACTCATTTGTCTGACCATCCATGCTACAGCTGCAGATATCTATAAAACATCATAGGATAACTTAACGTTAACCAACTTAACTATATACCAGCTATATCAGCTCATTGAAAGGACGCAGATTCCTCCAACATATTTCAGTTTCATTTTCAACACATGAGAATACTGATGATCAACAGATTATCATGAACATCAAAGTGTATTTAAATTGTATTTTGTTGATTTTTTGAAAAACGGAGGCAAGTTTAGAACAATTCCTGATATATTTAATGAAACAAAAGGATTGATTATATATAAGGAGACGACGTTCCATCGTGATATTAACAGTAAGATAATAATTGTAAGAAACTCTACCTGTAGGGCATATGATATAGAAAGACCAGTAGGACCCGCTCCAGTATCACTAGAAGCCACCGCTAGTATACTGGCTGAAAATACTATTAATGATGAAACCAAATCAAGATTTAATCCCAGCCATCTGAAACAGATATTCACAATGGCGACTTTGTTATAAAATGCCACAAACTAGTACGAATTTATTATTCAAAGTAGTTTGAAGCTTGCAATTCCAAAATTCTGTCAGGGGCTGTGCGGATCGCCGAAGAACAAGATAACATAAAAACACAAAATTTACCTGTTTGATGCAATACCAGCAAAGTAATACACTTGGTTTTTATCTACTATATTTTTAATATGGTGTAAACATGACCCAGTAACACCATAGGCTCTAATAGTACTAGCACCACTTAATGTTTCACTAAAATGAGTATAAATTGGTGTCCTGGTCACAGACTCAATACGTTTTAGTTGACGTGAAGTTGGTATATAGAATTCCTGCAAAACAGAATTATCAGTATGCAACAGAGAAACAAAGATGGAATAGATGGCATTGAAGCATACTCTTCAATCATAATTACTCCCTTAGGCAATGTTTCAAATAGTTTGATAATTGCCACCAAAACACAGGTAGTGTCAGCAAAAGATACCTGTAGTATGAACACCCATAATAGGTCCAGACAATTTTAACCGAGCCCTTACATGACGAATGTTTTTTAATTTGGTCAGAAAATTAAATAGGTATTGCCAAACGATGCAAACACATACAAACTAATAATCAAATCAAACTTTCAATAGATTGCAGTCTTGTAGTTATCACAAATAATTCGGCACTTTTGAGCCAAGTTCTGAAATGAAAATAGGATGTGCGTGGGATGGGACAAACCGTATATTTTGAATAGTAAAAATTAATTACCTGTACAAAGTAATAGAAGGCACCAATAGGAATAAAGATTGCTATAAATATTGGAGTTGTAATACTTATAACCAATATAGTAGCCGATACTATCAGGAACGTTGATAACCACATCTTCATAACTTGAGGTAGTGTGGAATCTATCGTCTCTGTATCACGTGATAGCCTATTTATTATACGACCAATCGGAGTGGTATCCAGAAAAGACATTGGTGCTCGGAATATCGAGTCCATCAATTTACTGTGCATTACTTGAGCCGCTTTATTCAATCTAGTCCAATATAACAGGGAGTGGACGAGTACCAGAACAACTGTAGTAATAAAAAGTTATGTAGTCTGTATAGTCTTTTGTGGAGGAAGAAGGATTTGCCGCAGGAGTTTCCATGAAGAAAAATGACCAAAATCATAAAGTCATTCATTTAAATGATGCTTGCCATGACATGCGAGATGTTTATGTTTTATGTATTTCTGAAGAAAACTGACTGATTTTAAGAAAATTTAGATGTTCGGATGGGACAATAATCTCTCGACAGCCGGAAATCAGAAAAAGAGTAGGCATATGCCACTCCATCCATTTCATTTTTTTTTTCGATTCATTTTGTTAGGACTCGAGCTCTTGAATTCAATATTTCTGAAGGTAAAATGTTGAAGATGATAAGAAAATACCTTGAAAAACACCAAACAGGCCGTACACTGTTAAGAAATCGTGGTTTCTGGTAACAAAATTGGGTGTTTGTTGAAATGTGGCATTATTGAGGTCAGGATCATCGGTCCAAAAGGTCAGCCAATAATTAGATCCAATACTAGCAGCTTGGAAAAGGACAAAGAAGAAAATAGCAGCTGCAAAACCAATCGAACCAGCGGCTTTAAAATAATAAAGAAATACCTTGAAAGGAATCTGCAAAGAAAAAAATTGACAATTGATGATATATTTAACATCCAATATATAGTAATTGTTTCTTTCGATCATTAAAGGTTAATAGACACGTTTGCAACATCAACAGCACTCAGTATTCTCATTGTTTTGTCTGATTTTCCCAGTCGCTGTCCGAAAACATTGATTAGGACTACAGCATTTACAGCCTATAGCCCCGAATCTAATACGCCCACATCGATCTTTGTCGGCATCAATTCTGGTTTGTTGAAACGCCCTCCTACATTTCCTCGGTTGAAAGTCTAGTTTTCATATATGATTATAATGAAACGTGGTATGTAGATACGTTAACATAAATCTGAATATACGATATTAACCCTTGTAATTTAACATTTTTATAAAATGATATATGATCAACAAGTAAAGATCAAGTGAGAACTATAGCAGTTTGCGACAATTACAAATCGTCCAACCACAAGGTAAAGCTAGCGAATTTAGACTATCTACTATCTTTTAATTACCTTTCCCCGTCCAGTGGATTCAACCTCAATTAACTTTCCTTTGCTTTCCATCTCATCTTTCTCCTTTTTCATTGATAAAGTCATAGACGTCGATAGTGTTAATTTAGTCACCGACTTCCTGCTCACCGAACTTCTCCTCCTAAATTAGATAAACAGCTTTCAAACAAAACAAGATACCAGTTCTGAAGTAATTTTATCACAAGAAAGAGTGGGTCGCCATTGCTGGATTATTAGAAAAGACAGGGGTGGGGAAGATTAGAAAGATATACAAAATTGAATTCAACACGTCTCAAGCTGGCCTACAGCATGACTTGATTATTCAGAGGGGCAAGTAATATATCTGGGGGAGCAATGGCGTATGGTGCTTAGTTGCAGAAATGGAATTGGTCGCTTGTCAGATTTTTTCAGGAGGGGGTGGGGTGTTGCTACATTATGGTTTCAAGGATTGTCAGAATAGAGTTTTCATACCTTTTCCTTTCAGTAACAGGATTTTCATCTCCTGACGTAGCACCATCTGATGTTATTGCATCAATTTTTTCCCACATTCTTTCTCTCATTGTTTCAACTGAAATATTTCGGTATGCGTATTTTTATAATGACCGATTATGGGAAAAGAGAGGCAACGTTGTTCAGTTCACATAATTTTAAGTATGAAAAATCCAAATCCTTATTCTTCAATGACCAAAATGCAGAACCATGTCAAATCTCCTCGTCTTATTGACATTATGAAAGGAGTTTTGCCAATTCTTGTTTTCAAGACATTTTTAACGCGCCTGTATCGAAATTTTCTTGATGATAAATATCATAATGTCCTACTTTCGGCATCGGGTTCTTCATCTTCAGACTCTATACCAACACCTTCAATTAGATACGTCTTTAAAAACTGAGCAAAAGCAGCATTGCCTTTTATCAATTCTGCATATGTTCCCCTTTCTGTTATACGACCATCATTCATCACCAGTATGTTATCAACCATAGGTAACCAATGTACACCATGAGTTACCAATAATCGTGTCTTAAATGGTTAAAGAATTATTTGAATATCAATTGGGCAGAGATAGTAAAATGTATAAGACAGGTTTAGCACCAATTTCTGGTAACTTGCACTTGTTTCAATGACTTTCTAGCGGACAGAACTCAGTATGCACTTCCGGTAACGTCTGAACACTACCGTCACAAAGTGACCTTGTATTTTTTTCTTTTAGTCATGTAATGTTGATCTAAATATACCAAGGTTGAATATGAAGGTCAGTTTTAAAGGATTATATAATTTGATAATTTATGCTAGGGAACGATTCATTTCGTTATCAAGGACAATGACTGGAAATGATAGGTCATTCAATCTAAAAGAGGTTACCTTTCCTTTCAGACAGCCAAAAGGGCCAATCATCTTCTTAAAGATATGTTTACCGACATGAGAATCAACTGCGCTCAAAGGATCGTCAAACAGATAAATATCAGCATCGCTATATAGAGCTCTTGCTAAACTAACTCTCTGTTTTTGTCCTCCACTTAAATTGATGCCCTGAAAACCAAAATAAGACGGTTTGTAGACTTATAACTACTCTATTGCAATCTCTTGCTTGCTTGACTCTTCGAGGCAACCATGACGTATTTTGGTTAATCATACTGCCTGCTGTACATACTGAGATGAAGATAAATGCATGTCAGAAACGACTGACTACACAAAACATAAATATTATGTAATAAAATGCTTCATGGTTACCTTTTCGCCTATTTCAGTCATATCACCACCAGGAAGAATTGCTAAGTCTGCAGTTAAAGCACATGTTTCAAGTGTAGCTGTGTATTTGTTTTCGTTATAAGGTTTTCCAAACAATATATTTCCCTTCACTGTATCGTTTTTCATCCAAGCTTGTTGAGGAACATAAGCTATGGTTCCCTGTAATAACAAAATATAAAGATTTCTTAATGAATGGGGGATGAAGTTGCATTTATGACATAATATGGTTGGCGAATTCTAATGTCCTGCATTATTATTAGGCGACGATTTTTTTATGAATCAGCTGGGTAAATGTCCAATGTTAACTGTTAACTCTACTGGCAATCAGTTGGTGTAATCATAGACGTACCTTTACTCTTACATCACCACTTAATTTATCCATTTCACCCAAAATAGCGGATATAAGACTAGATTTACCGCAACCAACTTGTCCTACAACAGTTACCAACTTTCCTTCTGCTATCTCAATATTAATACTTAAATTATAACAAAAAAATAATTTTCACTGCTCAAATAATGCTCCACCCATCAATTGTAGAGCAATATAGAAATATTAAAACAGGACCTAAAACATGTTTATCATTTACTTGAACTCTAATTAACAGCATGTTTCAGGTTTACTTTTAACATATTTAAAATATAAACATACAGAATCAGTTTGATATTGTAAAAATAAGGGTATTTATTATCAATGAAAATTGTACATCAGAGTTTATATGCAAGGTCAAACAAGTATCGGCGAATGAAAACTCTTACTTGTGTAATACTGAAGGCATATCTTCATCCCACTTAAATTCTCCATCTCGAACAGAAATAGCAAATTCTAAAATAAAAAGATACACGAGATTGTAAACATGTAAATTCAAGCTTTCATCTTGTCATTACAACGTTATTTCAGATGTTTTACAAGTTTTACATTACGTGACGTTTATTTTTTCTACGTTCTGTTTTGTATGTAATATTGAGCAGCAATTAGACCTACTCCAAGCTTCCTCATAAAAAAAAAATTAGCTGCTAACTGCATTGTCAAACTGAAAGTTTGGATTTAAGGTTTCGTTTTAGTGTTAAAACCGTTGTATTTGTTTTTTTTATTGATAGTTTTTTTAATATTTCATTTATCAGAAATCTTCTTTCGTAAATTGTGACTTGGTGCCATTTCTTTGACCAATGGAAAATTACCTACTTAAGTACTTCGGTCCAGCTAACCTATCTAATATCATTGCTATTTAGCACAAAGGTGATGATTAGTCTGAAGTGACGGCGCAGGAGTATCCCAACTGACTCATATGCCAGACATCAAGGCTTTTGATATTGAGATGGAATACAATTATAATACTTACTAGATGATTGATCCTGTACTGAGTTTTCTGGATCTAGGTCAGGTTGAATAATAAAAGCATTAATTCGCTTAACAGAAACAAATGCCTGAAATAAAATGATGCTATCTATGTAAAACTCGCATACCGCCTATGATATGTGTTGTATACATTGAAACATACAGATACACTATCGTCCAGCAGTTGGAAAAAAGAGCAAACTAATGCCGCTGTCCTGGCAAAATTTCCCTGATTGCATCCTGCATAGTGTTACCCATATTCATTTTCCCAAATGGTACAGAAAAATAGGACGTAAACTCCATCCGTTTTATTTCATCAAAGGAAACATTTTTTCCAATCTCATATTTGATTTTAATTGTGTTTGATTGCATTGTCTCGAATGTCAGGGAAGATGCTTAGTCAACAAATTAATGACAAAATAAAATGATCAGTTATCCAACAGGTGCAAGATGAAGTGCAGTCAAATTATTCTCATTTCGACACCTAATATTTGCTACTAGAAAAATTATATCGAATACCTTTCATATGAACTAAAAGGAACACTTATAGTTAACGTTTTTCCAAGTAAGTCTATCCAAGCAATAGGTGAAACATTTCGTCTTGCAATAGTCAAAGCTCGACCCATGCATGCAGAAAATCGGGTAAGTGCAAGATGACTGGATGGATCAAAAAATATTGTACCTGAATACTGAAATTAATAATGATGCCCAACAAATTTAGTGGAACTCTCAATAAATTGAATAACGACAACGTTACAAAAGCCTTTTGAGCGTCTAATACGTTATTTTCGTTCATAAGGATGTAGGTAGCAAATGTTGCAAAGGTTACCTGCAATGATAAAACCAGATATATTATATTTAGAGCTCAATGCAATTCAAATGTGTTACATTGCCATCTAAATGCGGTTTATGACTGGTAGCTCGACATTAGAAATTGGCTGTATGACTTTACAAAAAAAGAATTTTAAGAAATGAAACCTCGAAAATGGCGAAACTGTCCCTTTAATAACATCTTTGGTAAGGCAAGGCACGAAAAGACACAACAATTAAATAAATGAAACAAACTTACCAAAAACGGCGCCACTGCCCAACTCATGCTAAGTACAATGTATGTATAGGCTATTTTGTACAACTCACGAATTTCCAGAGCTCTTATCTTTTCCACTTTCTCTTGAAATGATAACTCCCAACCATACAGCTTTAAAACCTGATAAAAATAGATTTTCTATTTTAACTCCCACATTATTATTCTGCTAATGAATGGATAATGAAACAACTCATATCTGAGACAGATCTGATGCCGACATCCAATTCTCTGGATCTGAAAGAAGTTTTAGTATTAAGGATGCTTATCTACGGACTGAAAACAATCTCCAAATTCAAACCTTGATTCCATTTAATATCTCCGTCATCCATTTAATTCTTTTATCTTTGATCTTGAGATTTTCCTGTTGATATTTTTGTTGTTTTCCAGCAAATACAGAATTGATGGGTATCATTAAACATAAGACAACAACCCCAGCAAAAACAGCAGGTCCTGGAAAAGAATTGTATAAACAATTGTTGCCAAATTCGTGTATTTTGGATTTTTAATAATTTTTTTACAATGCATGTAATATAAAGTTTCACTCTGCTTTTAGACTATAATATAAATATTTACAAAATACAATGTAGATTGGTTCACACTTCACTTAATTGTTAACGGAAAGGATATATACCTATGGTATAGTAAAGCAGTACCAATGAGAGAACTATTTGAAGCGGTGTTGACCATAGTAAAGCTAAAAAGTTGAGCAAATCTTGAATTCTTTGGCAATCGACAGACATGAGGTTAACAATTTCTCCTGATGTTTTGATTTTTCTTGCTTCGTTGGTCATTGTTAATGCCTGAAAAAAAAAGTTGTTGAGAACATAAAGTGCAATATTAAACAATAGGTTAGTTACGATTTCTGTTCCGCATGAGAATTTCATATGGTAGCTCACCACTGCCGACTGCTACCCATTTAAATGGCTTGAAACTAAAATAATTTACCTCTTGAATCAAATAATGTGAATCCCATTTGAGAATATGCGTCTGAAATCTTTCAATGATGTATCAGCTCAACAAGGGTCCTAAATTTTAACTGTTTCAACAGTTTTGTAACATGGCAGTCCATAAGAATGCGGTTCAGTGTACATATACTTGCAGAGCTATGAGACATGACAAACCTTCTGATATATAACAGATGTCAGCGTTGACTTCATCTGCATACCAATTACAGCTGCTTGATGAAGACTGATTTGAAACAATACAGCTCGTATTATACTAGTCAACATTAAACCAACCGCTAAAATATAACCTCTCCATTCTGGCAACTCATCACGGGTTGACATATATGATATAATTTCTCTGTAAAAAGAATTGATGACTGTTAATGAATGAATGCATAAGAGAGTAGCTAATGTTGATTTAGACTGACTTCGTCCTCATTCATTTCTTTTGCAAAGCTTCACCCCGTTAATATAGTGTTAACACTTCAGCAATTGTATTGTAATGAAATGTTGAAATATGGTTCAGTGAAGATAGTTTTGAGGTGACAAATTCATGTACATACTGTCATGTTTTCACATTGTCTGGTGCGACTGTCTGGATTAAAACCAACATCATATTCAAAGCTACGTAAAATCTATGAAAAGATGTCACTGACAGTGACACTGTGGATGTGTGATTATTGCCAGCAAAACTATTTTCAAAATATGTCTTTCTCCAACACTTGAGAATCGTTTTTATCCCTAACACTCCTATCATCTATGCAAACATCAATAACGACTGCTGAAACCAGTTCATCGCAATTCTGTAATATTTGTTAAAAGATATATAAATTCAGACTCACCCTAGAATTAAAGGACTGATAAAAGTTGAAATATCAGCAAAGAATTTTGTAATAAACGACACCATTAACCCAATACAATGTATTTTACATAGAACTTTAAACAATGATGGTATTTTAAGTTTATGTTTTCTCTTCAACCTGGCGATGGAATCATTAGATGATGACGATGAGGACTCTGGATGTTTTGGATCAGTGTATTGTTTCACTTGGTGAGAAAATAATAATTTGGATTTTTCATTGATATTCGGAATACCATTAGCACCATTAACATACACCACTTTATTGTCTTCATATACCTTGCTGCATGTAAAAAAAGAATAGTTAGTATCTGCATAACTAAACATATTTTTATGCGTCGAATATCGAATAACTGTTTAATTAAGGAATCTGCAAATTTTTCCAAAAACATCTTTCTACAGTTTATTTATTTGAAGCTTTTTGTCTTCGTCGAGAAACTATCATGACAATGAAATGGAATGGTCAACATCTTCATTTTATCTGTATTCCCGATTACAGTTCCTTGGAATTATGTTCAAAAATTATCCGATATGGAATAGCTGGTGAATGGCATCTATGAGACTATGTTAATGATTTAAATAGCATTCTTAAAAATGCGACCACCAGAAAAATATTGCCGTGTGCGAATTTAATCGACTTTGATTTTCTTTTCTTCAAACTAGTTTCAGATAAATTTCGCCTACTTTTTTAGACGAACTCGGTTGACCTCTTTCTCCCAATATATCTCAAACTGTGGTACCAGTCGACTACTAGCATCACGAGGATTCAGTTGCCAAACATCACCTTCATTTAAACCTTTTCTGTACCCATTGAGTATCAAGCTAGAAATAAAACTTAGAATATATTTCTAATCTAATTCTTATCTTGCTATATAATTATTTCGTACAATTATTTTTGTACACATCATCCGACTTTATTTGGAGATAGTTGAGTGCTGATGAACACAAAGACTATGGCTTGTAAACAGTTTTAAATACTTTTTATTCTCCTCAAAAGACGATAAACTGCCAGTGTGTTCATACATTTTATCTTTACTATAAATTATCATTATCATTTACTTACGGAAACATCCACGAATAGGTGAGTTGACCAGGTAGTGATGCTGTAACCTCTGGACAAGGGTCCTATACAAAAAAAAAACAAGTAAGTTCTAAGTCGTCAAAAAAAAACCCCGGAAAGATTCGATGCCAAATCATGGCCGTCACAATTTTTACAGCATACCATTTTACCAATATGTTTAAATTGAAATATCAACTGATAGTCCTTGTGTGAAAACCACACTCCCATTCGTCATACTTCATTTTTAAACCCGTATTCGTGATACGATGACCAAAATCCTGATATATCCCGAAAATATTCATAATTCATATATTATATATACTTATTAAAAGGCAGAGTTGAAACAAATGTTAAATTGAAAATATGACATCTAAAAAATATTTTTATGATTTATTGCTCATATAATTGACATTGAAACAATCCATTATGCTTTTTAAATTTTGACTACAAGTGATCAATCCGTTTACAAAATGAGGCAGAATTTGGCACAACTCTTACTTAAAGTATCACTGTTAATTGGAATTCTTAAGATATTTTTTAGAAAAGGTGGCCTTTTATAATATACAGGAAATATCATACCGTTCCAAGTTGACTATAACCATCTCTACTGTGAAATGCTGGTTTATCAGTTACACAGGTCAGCACAAAAATAACCACTTTAAAGAAGTATGACGCATAGAACAACACAAAATTGACCAGGTCTTCATTCTGATACTGAAATGAAATGGGAATTTCTTATAAGTAATGATAAAGAGTATCACCATGATATATGCGAAAAGAGAAAGGTTTACTAAGATAATTATAACATCTCGAGGTATCTTTAAAGGTCATATTTGAATCCATAGTTTTTGGTCTAGGGTTAAGAAATTTCCATTCTTCTGATCACAGATAAGGTGAACTTACATTAGTAAGGATGTAGGTATAAAATGGTATGATATCTAACAGTAAAACTAGTAACCAGTATAAAAATAAAATACTTGATGAAGCAATGCCCTTAATCCGTTCATATTGTATAGTGAGTATCACAGATAACTGAAATTATACAATGATATGTAATACAAGAACACATTTCATTACTATTCATACAACTATATCAAATTGCTAAAACAGACCCAGAAGATTAGTAGCCCAACTAGAGTGGGGGCCCATAGAATTTTTTTTACATAATGCTCTCCTACATTTATTTCTAAGGGTGAGGCTGGTTTAGAAGATGCCCGTGGATTTGGTTCAACCAGACCTTGTGGTAGTAGAGCCACTGCAAAGGATGGCATTTCTTTAGATATACTGTCCCAGCAGTGTTTTCCGTACCATGTGGTCTATTATCTTACAGTAGATTTGTTTTACGTGGTTATTTCAGGGTTTTCAGACTAAAAAAACTAACTACAATATCTGAATAAAGACTTACGTAGGTGAAGGCTCTGATAGAGTGTGCTACATAATAAGATGCAGGACCTCGGTGACCCTTGACAACATAATTATCATCTTCAACAAGATTTACTAAGGCCAAGACTACCAAAATAAATACCATAAACTAAATGAAAAATGCAAGAAAAATGGGATGAGTTTCTTGAAGGAAATAAAAACCAGATCTTCTGTTCCATGGTCATCGCCATCCCTTCATCTTCAAGTTTAAGCTTTTTGGTCAACATTCAAGTTCAAAAGGTGCACTTTTGAGTTCCACTACAGGTCGTGTTAGTTCGAAACATCTGTCTCTATCCCAACCACTGATGGTTACTTTGACAGGTTATCGGCTTGAGTAGATCAGCCGACATATTCTGCCCAAATAGCTATTAGAGACTCGAATTAAGACAGATGTTTTGGTATAAGATTCTGTGTGACTGTCTACTTTTCATGAACGCTTGATGCCATCCTGGAAAACCTTGTCTGATATATTATCTCAAGTGTCAACGAATTTTTGACGAGGTTTATTTCTCGGAATTTCTGTGTTGATTGAACAATGATCACGGGTCTTTTGTACACAAATATAGTAGGGTTTTTCCAAAAAATAAAAAAAAATATTCAGATTTTCAAATATTTTTCTAAACAATTACACTTAGTTTTTTTTAGACTGTTTTACAGTAAACCAAGTAAATCGGCGCACACACCAACTTTACTTGTAGTTTAACGTAGATATATAGTATGTAAATTAGAAAAAAACATATCTTAAAACTTGACATATATTTTGATATAATATATCATACTAACAGATCTTGTTTGACTAGTATTTTTATTTAAATCCTTTTTTATACAGTGAATTATACTGCACACTCTACGATCAAGTGCATCAAAAGGAAACATTGTTGACGTCTTAATTTGCACTTTTCATTCAGATTAAAAACAGGGTATCAATGCTATTAATTGTTCAAGTGTATACCCTTCTAAAATCTTTCTTACATCCTGCAACTGGACCTCTTAACCCCTTTAAAGTGTTTGTGCGCACTGACTTTCAAACTATATTTTGAATTATCGATATCAATTTATAAAAGAAGACTTACAACTGGAGCCGCGAACTCGATTGACTTTAATTAAAATTTGAATTGAGATGGTTGAACATCTCTTCTTAATTTGACTTTTGTGTTTTTTTTTGCGAAAACTACACACCTTGGAGAACGGCAATCTATCAACCATTTTTTTCAAAAGATTTAGCTGTACGATAGATGCTATCATTTCAGAATCAGGTCATGTTGTTCGCTACATAGAAGTTTTTACTTCAGAATAATGAAACTGCTTGCAGCCATCACAATTTTAATTATATATCTTAATCTTTCATCAAAGCATGATGGACTCAGCAACCTGCTAAGCATTATAAGCATCTGCATGTACACCTCAATCTGATGGAATACCTCATTATACCGATGCAAATATGCATTGAAAAAGGTTCTAAAAGGTGTCCAATAAATGCAGTGGATAAAAACTTACAGATTTGATAGTATTAAAAGTATTAACTGGTATAGGTGTGGTAGATGTAAGATGGTATGAATAGTACATATAAAATGGTAAGGAGAATAACAAATAACCAGATGGTATCCACACTACCACTGTATGTGTAAAACAATCGGTAAACTGAGGCCAGCTTCCATTGATCAACAGTGTAGTGTTCTGAAAAATACAAGGGAAAATAACATCAAATAGTTTTACAATAACGAACTATTGTATTATATTATAAGAAAGAGAAATCATACTAAACTGTAGATATTGGACTTAGTCACAGAGTAAATTGGGTTATTTGTAGTTTTATGTCCATTTATTCCTTGCATTTGTTTAGGCTATAGAGCAAGAGTCTGAACCACAAAGTCGTCAAATACCATGTATTCCTTGTTACTCTTGCACAAAGTAGTAAAGAGGTATAAATTTTGAGAGATATGAAAACATATTGGAATCTTGAAACAAAGTTAACAACTTGAGATGATGAAATTTGGACTAAATAATTTTTCGTGACCGCAATTCAGCATTTCTTTTATTTGTCGCCTCAGGGCTGTGCATATCATATATAAAAACTGTAATTTATTTCATTCAAGTGGTTTGCTTGGGTGACAGAAAAAGAATTTATATAATGCAGGTTTTATGTTATGTTATGCCAAGAAAGGTATTTAAAGGGCAACAGTTCAGAAATTTCATTTTTATATAAACATTGGAAATACTTTCTAGACCTATTCCTTTAACAACAAAAAATGACAAACTACATAATGACGATATCATTGAATATGCACAGAAAACAAAAATATAAGTCTATTTAAAAAATAAGATCAAGTCAAATTAGGTATGATATGAAAACTTATATAACTTAAAAATTTTATCATTTTAAACTGATATAAAGGAAAATGTAATCTTGTTTATTTGTAACACCAACAATTTAAAAAAAAAATATCTGTGATATCATCAAGTTTTGTTAAAGGAGCAGATTCGCCATTTTCGGGTGTTGATTTGAGTCTTGAATATTATGTAATAGAGTTCTCAGAAATCGCATTATGCCCTCAAAAATACCTAAAGTCGTCACAATTGGTACTGCAGTGTTTCTATTTTGGTTTTCTACAGATTGTGACTCATTGTGTCCGTATGGTGCTCTTTCCTCATTTTTTTTACAGAATACATTTTCTTATTTGTTCCACATAGTGACTGACTAAATTATAAGGAAAAAAAATTAAGATATATTTTCTATTAGATAAATTTCGACTGAGAGTAAAATTTGAATAATATTTATTGAAATGAATTGAATATTCAAAAATAACACTGGTCGTCTCTTTGCAAACAATGAAAACATTATTTACCATGAAATTTGCCTTTTAAGCGGGAAATTTTCATTCTAAAAGTGGGGTGGGGGACAATTGCCCCCCTAGAAAAGTGGTTTGCACCCTCAATTGTCAGAATGCACAAAATCGATTCATTTTTTCTAAAATTTTCTTGAGAACTCTCTATGAGTGGCTTGCGACTATGACACCACCAAAGAGTAGCCAAAATTTGAATGGAGTCAGTCTGTCCCCTCTTTGTACCCCCCCCCCCCCCCATCCCTCTTTCTAATAACTACTTAGTTGTATCGTCCTGTTACGGGGATTTTTGGTGTATATTTATGACACCAGGAAGGTTCATTGAAGAAAACAATATTTGCCAAGTTTTAAGAGGTAGTATTCCTTTCATTTTTTATCAATCTAATGAATACTGTCTGTATTATGTTGGGGTTTATATTTTAATCCACGTAAAAACACAACGGACAGCAGAAATTAAATTTCCAACATCAAAAAAATTAAACCTTACCCAAAATTCACCATCGCAGAATTCATAGAAACCCATTCCGAAGATGCTGTAAATCGACACAGATAACACTAACACATTACATAACAACAATTCCTATGACGTCCAACGTAAATGGATAACACTTATATTATGTTCAAAAGCAATACGACATTAAATGTCTTCACCATTCTACCTTACTCAAAATGGAGAATGACCGCACTATGTAAACAGAATGAGCTAGACGCATGTCACCTTGAATTTAAATCACAAGAGAAATGTTGTCTTGGTTCACGTGACTAAACAGAACTCTCTTCTTACTATCATA